AGAGGCATAAGATTCCCTTCCTTAGAAACAGAACCATTTTTCATTCCCCAAGCAATATAAAGTACCCATTTTCTCACAGCCTCGCCGACTGTGTTGTCAAGCTTTTGAATTTACTGCCAACGTAATAGGTGAAAAATGGTATCTTAACAGTTTTTTAATAACCTTTATTAAAATAGAATTAAAAAGCAATAACATGAATCCATTTTAAGTACACACTGTGATAAATTTTAACATACCATGTAAGATATATACTGTGTCCATCACTCTAAAAAGTTTCTTGTTCCCCTTTTCTATAAATCTCCTCCAAATCCTGGCCCAAGGCAACTGCTGATCTGCTTTCTGACACTACAGATTAAGTTTGTATACTCTAGAATTTCATATAAATTAAATCATATAGTATGTACACATTTGTGTCTGAAAGGAAGAGGATATTGATGGTATCCTTATGGGAGATTAGACAGAAGAAATTAGGTGTATTATTTTTAATTTGGCCTTATTTGTATGCACAGGCTAGATGACCTTACTATACATAGATTATAAATAAAATTGAATTCCTATAATTTTAAATAAAATACACTCTCCATTCTAAATTTTCTTTTTGATCTTCTTGCTATGCCAATCTACTAAGCCCTCAATAATGACAGAATTATAATATCTGTAGGACTCTCAAGAGATTATTTTTATGAGTTCTAATCTTACTATCAAATAACTTTTTGTAAACCTTGTGTGACAAGGATTCTATATTTTCCAAAGAATTTACTCTCTATTCTCGAGAAAACTTTTTCCCTTGGGAAACTATGTTGGAGTCACTAGTTAGTTCTTAAGAAGAAAACGATGCTGACTAGAATGTTTAATGCTACCTTTCCAAATAAATGTATGAACCAGTGTTCTACAGGTTATATAGAAAGAGGAGAGGGGAAGAAATTGCTCTCATTTATTAAATTTTCCTTTCTCTTTTAGTTTTGCTTCTATGAAACAATTAGTCCCATACCATCTTAACTTTTCCCTCTGTCATAGGTGTCTCTTCCAAAGCTCACGAGAAAAACAGTGAAAATTTACATTTTTAATACTTCAGTTAGCATTGACTTCACTTGGTGTTAGTGCTGCTTTTAGCAACCTTTGAGAGTGCATGTGTGTGAGCATAGTGCACAAACTGAGCGATGCAACAAAGCAAGATCTACTTGATTGAAACATCTAATACCCCTCCCACATCCGTCCCTGCAAAACTTCATATTTATAGCTAGGCTTCTTGGTAGTTATGAATCAATACATGTGTGAGATTCAAAAGAAGAAAAGCAATTAATCTTCAGTACCAAAGAGAAACACCCTCAGGTGTTTCTGATTATAAAAATAGTTTCCAAAACTGAACCTCATCTGCATAAAGTATATCTCTGAATCAACAGTTAAGTGAGGAAATAAAGCTCTGATATTTAAAGTCAGTAATGCTTTGGTTCAGTTTGCCTTTTGATATAGTACATTTTTGATTGATAGGAAATGACACACTGAAAGTGCATAGGGAAGAAGGTGGAAGTAGCTGGCACTGAGGGTGGAGAAAATAAGTGCATATTGAGCCATTCAGAGGACAAACATAAATTATAATTACATGATATTTCCAGTAGTTTTGCATTATTAATTTTAAAACTACAAATCAAATTTCTAACTAAAAAGACTTCTACCAATTTATAAAGATAAGTAGTTCATTAGGTAATTTCAGTAACAATATTCAAGACCCACCTATCTTGAACACACACACACACATACATTAAATAGCAAAGAGTGTTATAGTAATCTTTGATAGTTAGGTTCTAGATATTGAAATATTTCCTCAGTAGTTTTAACAGCTTCATTGAGGTATGATCGGAATATAATAAATAGCACATATTTAAAGTATTGTCAGAGCCGAGGCCAAGGGGCTCGATTGTGTCAACTATGCCAATTGTCAGGGTCTAAGGTATTGCTGACCTGATCCAGAAGGTTCAGCAATGCGAGGCCCAGCTGGACGAATGCACGCAAGGCAGACATGAGGACGAAATGGCAGGCACCAACTTTATCGTGCGGTTGGGAAGTGCAGTCTATTGCACAGGGCACACAGGCTTGCGCGCACTTCTACCGCTCCCCTTTCTTGTGCTCCCCGTCCGCTCTCCCCTTTTGCTCTCTAGAAAACTGCATAGTTCCTCACATAGCAGAGTATAAAAGTGGCATTGAGCCACACATGCGTGATACAATAAGCTGAAGTATGTTTACATATTTTCTAAGTTTGGGGTACTATTGCTAGCCATGGTCCTGGATTACAGCCAGACCTTGGACCAGCCAGACCTTGGGCCCATCAGGCCTGGGGCCCCGCAAGTATACAGTCATCATATGTACACAACTGTGAAATCATCATCACAAACAACATAATGAGTATATTAATTGTACCCAAAAGATTCCTTATGCCCCTTTGTATTTATTTCTCCTTCTTGGCTCTTTCCACCTCCTTCCCGACCCCAAGAAACCACTTATCAGTGTTCTGTCATTATACAAAAGTTTACATTTTTGAATTTCATATAAATAAAATCACACAATACATACTCTTTGTTTTCTGACTTTTTTATCCAGCAAAACTATTTTGAGATTCATCCATATATTGTATATATCAATTATTCATTTCTTTTTATTGGTGACTATTATTTCATCATATGATTATACCATAAATTGTTTATCCATTTACCTGATAATAGACTTTTTTTTTTTTTCAGTTTTGACTATCACAAATCAAATTGCTATAAGCTTTCATGTTAAAGTCTCTGTGTGGATATTTGTTTCCATTTTTCATGCTTAAGAGTAGAATGTCTGGATCATATAGCAGAAATATGTTTAACTTTTAAAGAAACTACCAAATTGTTTTACAAAGTGGTAGTACCATTTTACGTTTCTCCTTATGGTTATAAGAGTTCTAATTCCTCCACATTTTCATCTAAACTCATATGGTCAATATTTTTAATTTTAGCCAATTAAATCTTGTCATTTAATAAGAAATATTCAGTAGTATCATCAGGATAATCACTGCCCAATGTCCAATGTCTTGAAACCATTGTTCCTTACATATATATTTCATTTTATTTTGTTTTTCTTTTTTAGTTGCCAGCTCTCTGTTATTTCATCTTTGCTAGAAACCTCCCTCTAGAAACCTCCCAAACATCTTTGCTAGAAACTTGTAGCAAAGACAAGAAAACACTCCACAAGAGAAAAATAAAACAATGACGTAAACAGACAAATTAAAAGCAAAGTTTGACTCACCAACACTGAATTTTAAAAATGGCTATATCTGGGTTCAGCTGAGAATTTGCTCTCCTGGTAAGGACAACTTAACAGAATCAGAGTCTATGGCCATACCACCCTGGACAAGCCCAATTCCGTCTGATCTTGGAAGCTAAGCAGGGTTGGGCCTGGTTAGTACTTGGATGGGAGATCACCTGGGAAAACCAGGAGCTGTAGAAGTAAAAAAATAAAAATAAATAAATAAATAAAGGATTGTAAGCTGACAAGTTCCTTGCAATCTGTGAGGTCAACCAAGGATTGCCTCGCCTAGAAAAGAAAAAAAAAAAAAACCAGTATCAGAACTCTCTTAGCACATTCCTTAATACTTGTACTCCTTGGCCTAAGGCAATTTCTTTTCACTCACTTACACAACAGTACATGTTTAAACTCTCTGAAGACCACCCCTTGCATGTAGAGTGGAGGCCAGTCCCTCATCAGAGAAACTTTCTCTGGTATTCAAACTAAAGTAGCCCTCCAGTTATTCTATTTCATGCCACCGTGGTTTTGTGTTTTGTATTTTACTTATCCTTACTAGATATTTTCTTGTTAATCTATTTTATTATTATTATTATTATCTGTCTTCTTTAATTAGAATTCTTTCCATGAAAGCATGTGCCTTTCAGTCTTATTCAGTCTATTTCCAGTAGCCAGAATAATGTCTGGCTCATTGTAAGTACTTAATACAATATGTTAAAAGAGTATTTTTTGGCTCTGGCCTTGGAGAAACTTACTCTAAAAGAAAAATAAACTTATAAAAATTTTAGTATCATAACATAGCTCCATGTTCACTCATATCTACTGTGGATGAAAAAGGGGTTCTCCTGGAAGTAACCTCACAGAGTAATTTGATCATAAACTCCTAACTGGGAGGTCAAGGTAGGTAGTCATGCCCCAGACATAAAAATCTTTAGTGACATGTTAAGGCTGCCCTGCCCATTATTCTTGTGCATTAACACACATTTGAAATGCCAGAAGTAATAGCAATTGAAGGCATAACCACAAGAGCACAGAATCTTGTTAACTGTCCTATAATCTAATCCTCACCTTGTTTTCTCCCACCTTATGTAATCTTCCTTAAATTCCCTCCTAATTCCAAATACATAAAAGAAACTGCAAACTGTTATCTCAGAAGCATTTGAGATCTTGCTATCTAGCAATTGACGATTGACGTCAGTTTTGGCTCAAATGATCTCTCATAAAATTCTCTCCGGGTTTGGACATTTCTTATGTTGCACTACTCTTTATGACTTTATTGCTTCTACTACCTATGAATATTTACTGACATTTCCTTGTCTGATTTTTTTTTTCCTGCCACTTACTGTTCTTATTGCTTCTCATTTCCTGTTCTAGAATTTGTTTTATCCTGGAACTTAAAGTTATCATCATACCCTCCCCTGGTATCAAAACTGTTGTAGCCACCAGCCCGCGATAGACACTCGGACCACCAGAAATCAGTGAGTTATAGGAAACACACTCTTTATTCAGCCAGTTGGGTCTGCCAGGGGTACACAGACCCCAAATCAAGCAGCCCCAAAATGTAGAGGTACAGGGTTTTTAAGCCCTAACCCCCTATTTTTCATCCTGTTTGAACACACAAGTCTATTTTTTTCTTTTTACTAACTGTCAACCCACAGGTCGGGTGTGCAAGCAGGGGTACAGAAGCAGAAAGCTTATTGTTAGAGTGTTATGTTCCCATGGGCAATAGCCAAGCAGTAATTTTTCAGCCAGCACAAAACCATGGGGAAAGAAAAATAACTATTTTCCTTGAGTTTATTATTTCTGTAAATAATCACTGCACCTTATGTTTTTGTTTTTGTTTTTGTTTTGTTTTGTTTTGTTTTGTTTTATACCCTGATACCAAATCCCAGGCATTCTTTCTTCACAGTCCTGTACATGAAAATGCCTTGAACTTTAAAAGGTGCCTTAACTAGATTTAACATGAAAATTGCCCAGCTGAGCCCAGTAATACCATAAAACTATGAGAGATTATATACTGCTTTCTCAAGACACTACATTTTAGGAATATTTGTTATTCGGCAAGTAGATAATAAAACAAATTGGTACCTGAATGTGAGGTGTTTTTGGAACAAAAACCTAAAATATATGATACTGACTTTGGGACTGGAGAGTGAACAGAAGCTTGATACTCCTTGCAGACACTATTTTCAAATTCTTGAAGGACAGTGAAGAAGTAATTATTGTTGGCCAGATGAAAGAGGGTGTGAGTTATGTAAGGCAGGACAATTAGCAACACCATCCCCTGAGTGAGTGTGGAAAACAGAGAGAGTACTCAACAAACATGTGGCTTTGCTAAGGAGATTTCCAAGCAGAATGTTGAAAGTGATAACTGGCTTCTTCTAGTGTCTATAATAACAATGGAAGAAAGATGTGAACTAAGGAAGAAATTATCAAATATTTTATTAGAATTTAGTGGAAATAGAGTCCACAACAGCCTTTCTAGCTAGCAAAAGTGTCTCAAAATAAGAAATGATTTCAGAACAAAGATCACATCCATGCCACTACCAGCAAAACCTGGTGTCAGGGTAAAAAGGAAGTCAAAGATGTGGCCATATGATCCTTTGTTGATACCTCGGAAAGATTAAAATGTGTTGCTATCTCATATACCTCCTAGGTAGATAACAGGCTTTTAAGAATATTAAGAGCATGTCTCTCAGATCTTATCTGCTTGGACAAAAAGCTTCTAAAAATTTCAAAGGCATCATCTCAAAGCACCCCCATGCTCATTCCAAAGGAGAATGTGGCCTATCCTGAAGATATTTATGAGTATGGCTTTTGTCTCATGGAAGGAGCACCAAAAATAATCACAGAAAACCTATACTGTTTAAGAGCATTATGCTGGCATAAAAATCAAAACCAAAACCAACCAACCAAACAAATAAACACACAAAACAACAACTCACCTATTTGGATCTGAATGTTGCTAAATACCAGAATATAATTATTTTCATATATTAACCTCATAATCAATCAACCATACTCAATTTACATATTCATTCGAATCTTTTTTAGATTCTTTGGGATTTTCTATGTTGTTGAAGTAAGAAACATCCAAACCTGGAGAGAATTTTTATAAAAACTTATATGAGCCACATAGAGAATACACCGAGAAGTGAGATTTCAAAGATGGAGATAAAATGCTTCGGAGAATAGCAATTTACAGTTTTCTTTTGTGCATTTAAGATTAGGAGGGAGCTGAGGAAGATTATGTGGAGGTGGGATGGGATTACAGAATACTTAAGATTATGTTCTCTCTTGTGGGTGGTCACATGGAGATTGGATTGCTGGGTAGTTAAGATTATGTGCTTTTTTGAGGGTGGTTACAGTTTATTTGGAAGGTGCACAAGAACAATGAACGGGCTGGCTTAAGACAAAGAAAAAACCTTTTATTAAAAAGTTATGTGCCTGGGGTGTGACTACCCACTATGACCTGCCCAGTTAGAAATTTATGATCAGATTACCCTGTGAGGTTACTTTCCATAGCACCCCCTTTTGCATCTATAGTGTGTATGATCATTCTAAATTTCATTTCTACCATGTTATGTATGTCTTCTTCAGTTATTTCTTACATAATAGTCCTCTACTTTTTTGTGCTCAATTAAAATGCTGAACATTTCTTTGTTGCTATACATTTCTTTTAATGGTTAGACAAGCAAACAAAAAAGATTCAAATGTGGGTTTACTGAAGTAACTGGGCATCTCATTGCCATATCTGATTGAATCTAGAAGATAATAATATTAGTGACAAAAACTAAGAATGACTCAGACAAGAGTTATTTAGTTAACCTAAAACTTCCTATGTACATCAAAGCTCCAGATAACTCTTTTTTGGCTTGGATTTCCTGATTCCCACGTTATCTTTCCTAAATTATTGCCTATAAGGTTTATCTTAGTCACAGATTTATCTGCCAATTTCTAGAATTTATTTTTTTCTCATTCCATTCCTCTCTCTTCTTGAATTGCAATACTAGCTACTTCCTCTACTGTATGTTAATATTAACAAGAAGAAGTTCAATTTTCTTAATCATTTCCACAATGATGTAATCCATTATAGCCACTGAAAGTCTTTCCTTATTTAGGCCAAGGGATTTGATGTTAGTTCCTCAATATAGTGATTACATTCTAGTAGCTCAAGAGCTTTGTATGCAAACTATTTTGAGACAAGTGGAGGAAATCGTAATATGTATTATCAGTGAAATTCAGATAACATCATTTGCATAGTAGACTTTGGCTTGGTTACGGTTTAAAAATTACTCTTGTTAAAATTGCAAAAGGTATATATATATTCCTCTAGTTGGAATGTCAGCTCAATAATTCTAAGATTACATTGCCATTGAGCTAGGACCTTACTTGCTCTGTGCTTTGTGTAAAGTTATTGTTTAGTATATAATTTTTTATTGATTTGATGAAAGATGTCATCCCACAACCAGTCAAGTGTTCTTCATAAATTCAAGGGAATTCTCTACTCTACTATGTCTTCAGAAGAACTTCTAAATTCCCTGGATTCCTTCAGTGCAAGAGAAGATGATGTGTTTCTGGTTTCCTATCCAAAATCTGGTAAAGTTTACTTTAATGTATTTTTTAAATGTAGAAATAGAATAATAATAAATAAATATAATAATAATTTTAACCAAACATTTGTTTTTCAGAATTTTCTACAAGAAATTAAAGTATCCTAAATGCTTGTTTTAATAAAAAATTTTGACAGTAGAGAGCCAAAAAATATGCTTTGAGAAAATTCAACTGGAGAAATTAGAGCTTTACTACACTTTTGTTTCTATTTTATTCATGAAGACATACAAATGTTGATATATGTAATAAACATAATATCTATAACATTATAAAGTTTTCTTTATACTTTGTGCCAGGCATAAATAATGTTTGTTTAATTTATACTTAATGATTGATTTATAAATAAATAATTTTTTCTTTTGGGCTAATAAGAACCATAAATATTTTTTATTATTAAAGTTTATGCCTTATTATTCAAAGTTTATCCCCACATATAGGTATATACTCATGAAAGGACCATTATTATAAATGTCATCATGTGGATAATCAGAATTAATCATATATTATTTTTGTTTCTGAGAGAGATGACCAGGCTATATCCAACTGCCTGTTGCTATTTCCAGAGCAGTGGGCATGTGGAGATGGCCATATATCTGTTATCATGGATTCAGCAACTAAGAGCCAAGCTCCCTTTAAGTTGTGTGTACACCATAGTCCTTTCATCTGATTGTAAGTCAGGCCCAAGAAACCCTTCCCAATGGATGACACAGAGTTCACATAGGGCCAGATCTCCTAGAGTGCTTTTTCAGAATAAATATAAAACATGTATGTATCTCTTTCGTTGGAAAATACTCCTGCAAATGGAAGTTAAGTGACTGCCTCCAAAGTACCTCAGTATTCTCACTATGCAATATGTTGCTCTATAAATAAACATATCTTACCTGAAGTTGAAATATTAGTTTAGAAAGCAATTTATGATACTTTTAAGGTTCTTGGAACAGGTGGCTAGTTTATACCATATATAAGGCTTCCATTTTACGTATGGGTGCCTATAAATTGACATCTTCCTACCAGCTGCCAGGAGTTCCCCTTTAGTAGCGCAAAACTGTGTATTCTCTCTCTTTTGGAAGAAATCAATATATTTTGTTAAAATAATACAACTATCATTACTATATGAATCACATTTATATAAATATTATAATTATAAATATTTAAGACATTAACATTATAACCTAAAATAGTCTTAAATTTAAAACAATACAAATGAGATCACTGTTTAAATATTTATTCAACTGTAAATTTGTTAATATTGTATCTCATTGGAATTGTAATGAGATAAATGGAAACTAGGGCTGATTTAAACTCTTCAAGGACATTGTTTTCAAATTAGCAAAGCATCCTCCCCAACCAAATTTTCCTCTGTTCCAACTTACTAATGTCTACAATTTTGGGGCACATCCATATTTGCTTTATGTAAACATTAAGTGGTCTTCCTTCCAGGCTTCAAAGTAGCAAGTTTACTACTTTGTTTAAATATATGATGCTTAAATATAACATTTGTTCATTATTCAAATGCTTTACTTGTACAACTACTCTGTATCTACACATACAAATAAAATTCAGTATCTATTCTCAAGGTGGAAATGGGGAGATAGGCATGAATATAAACAAAGGCAAGTGTACTCTAATGTGTGCTACTTTGAGGGACATGAAGGGTCAGCAATTATGTCGAGGGAGTAGGGACTCAGAATAAAGTTTATAAAAGAGCAAGATACATGAGCTTGCAGGACCAGTAGGAATTATATGTAGAAAGATCTGTGTGTTTGCAAATTGGAGAAGGTGCTAGAGGTGAGTGTTAGCATAGTGTTAGCATATTTCAAGCTGAGGAAACAGCATATATAGTTCTTATATTTCCTCATGCTTTTAAAATGTTATTCTTCTTATAAAATGAATTAACATCTTAATGCATCCATTGCTTTTATAACCTCATGCTAATTTTCTATCTTCATTTCATCAAGAGTATCATTTAATTAAAAGTGTACTTTATTTTATTTTTTTACGAAGGTACTCACTGGATTGCTAAAGTCATTGAGAACATCCCCAATGCTGGAATTACTCTAACATCTCCAATCGAATTAGGAGACATTTCTAAATTTGAAGAGCTAAAAATGTATTATAAGAAAAGAGTTATTCCAACACATTTGAGCTATAACATGCTACCAATGGATATCAAACAAAAACAATGCAAGGTAAGTTCAATGGTGAAAGGCAGATACTTGTGAATCCCACAGAACTGAACTTGGATTCTTGCTCTGTCACTTTCAAGCTGTGTTACCTTAGAAAATTGCCGATGCTCTCTGAGCCTTGGTTTCCTCATTTGACACAGGAATAATGGTATCCATTTCAAGCAGTGTGGCAAAGATTAAATAAGACAATGCATGTATAGGTGTTACTGCAATATTTAGCTCATAAAAATTATTTTAATAATCTTTCAGTAATGAAAGAAATGTGAACTGTAATTACACTAGACAATGTTTTACTTTATTCTAAATCTGGTTTTAGTTTTTTTTACTCTAAATATTGGTGTTAAGGGAAAGAAAAATTGCCTTAACATTATTTTAATTATTTTATCTATCATTTTTTTGCAAGGGATTATATAGGAAAAGAATAAAAAATGTTATATATAAATTGTTAAAGAACAGTTACCTCAAGCTATTATTAAAATACACACATTATTTTTAAAGTTAACTAAAATTTAAAAGGCTATTTTATATTTTTATGTATTTCTTATTCAAATTTATGTTTTCATGGAGTAATTCTTATGGAATAAGTTTAAGTAGAAATCATATTTTAAGTACATAAATATCGAATAATTTCAATTTAGTTAAAATATACATTTGCACACATAAAAAAGTCTAGATGTAAATATATTAGCATGCCGAGTGGTTTTTTATGGTATGACATTAGGGTTAGATTTTATTTTCTTTACAAATGTCTGTATAAGAAACATTTTCAAATTCTGTTTTGATCAGGAAAAAAAAAAAGAATAACATTTGAAAAGCAAAGGCAAGATACATGTGTCCACTGTAACAAGGTCCCAGTAATTAGGCCTTTTTAAACAATGTCAGCCATATTCTAAAAATAAAAACAAAAATAACCTACCAGTCAAATGTATATAAATCAAAGCAGATCTTCCTACGAGTATAACTCTATGATCACGTCTCCATGCATACCATTTACTCTTCTGCCCAAAGAAAAGTAAACACGGTCAACCAGAGGCAAACGTCAGAGTTTTGCCTTTATCCCCAGCAAATCTATCAGAACAGGTGAAGGTGTACTAACTTGAGCACATTATTACTCAACCAAGCATTTTTATTTCAAGCAGACTGTCTCTAAGACAGAGAGATTTGGGGAGAAAATTTGTCCAGGGAGCTAAATAACCTTTACTCAGGGTGTTGAAATAACAATAACAAGTGACTACCAGAGACTGAGCTGTGTTTAATAGACATATTTCAAAAACGACAGGAGTGAATATTTTTCCTTTCATAAGCAAAGAAACTGAAGCTAGGAAAGATCAGGGTGCTTCTTTAAACTACTACAGTAAAGGTATCACTTTACTGTACCTTTCAGTGTGACCCCTACTAAAGAATGAGACTCTTTCTCCCAAGAGGGTGTGTCCTCTGTTGCTAATAGCCTAGCCCTGCAGGCTTAGCAGCTGGACAAGCCCTACCAGCCGCAGGAAAGCCTGTCAGACAGAAAATTCCTCTTCCAGTCTTTTCTCACCAGCTCTCAAACATACTCAACCTCCTATATTTTCTTCCTAATCTTCGTCTCCCCTTTTTTGTTTCCAAACTCTCTTACACGAAATTTATATTTTCAGATAATTTCATGATATTTAGTTAATATTTAATTTTTTTCCAGAGTACTATTTTGCCTTGCCTTCATATCCCTCAACTTCCCCCTAATAGTTCTTATTTCCTAGAATATATTTTGTGTTTTTTTCAGTATAATTGACATATAATATTAGTTTCAGATGTAAAACATAATGATTCAATATTTGTATATATTGTGAAACAACACAATAAGTCTATTTAACATATGTAACATACATAGTTACAGAATACATTCTTTTAACCTCTTTTGGCAAAATATGTATTAATAGTTTACATTGCTTTTCCCACTAGATAACACTGATGTGTGTCTTTGCGGGTTCTTCAAGGGTCCTAAATTACTCTTCTCTTTAACCAAAAAAAAACAAAAAAACAAAAACTGATGGCTAAAAATTCTGCTGTTTTATCACCTTTTGTTTAAGCAATGGATTTTTAAACTGTAGTCTCAGACTTGGGGTTCTGTGAATTTGCTCATGAAGCCTAGAGAACCTAGAAAAAGGCTGAGGTGTTGGGTTACTCTGCAGTTACTCCCTGGGGTGGGATAAGGTGGTTCTTCATTCCTGTGCACAGTAGCCTTTACACATCTCTCAAGAAAGGAGGAGCAGGTGCTGTTTCTGTGAGTCATGCACAACACTTGTTCTATGAACACACTACAGAAAGATAGTTACATATTAAAAATGACTCAGCAAATACTTTTTTATCTAAGTAAACTGTGTCCACTCTGATTGTCAAAAAAGCAGGTAGAACATCTAGTACTCATGCAATATTGACTGTAATTGAAGAATAGTCCTATTATATCCAGCTTTTCACACTGGTTTCCTAAGTTTTTTAGATGCTTCTATTGCACTCTATTGCACTTCTATTGCACTCTATTGCACTTCTATTGCACTTCCCCGTTGTAACTCTCATAACACTGCATTGTCAAGAATGTTCCCTCACCTGACTGTAAGTTTTGAGAGGTCTGGGACCATTTCTGTCCTGCTCAGCATTATATCCCTTGGACTTGGAACGTTACACACTGCCTGATACACTGTAGGTATTAAATAAATATTTATTGAATTGAATTAAATTGCAATGTTCATGTAAATCGGGAGAGTATCTCAAATTCTTTAAGCTTTGGGGGATTGAATTATAAAAAAAAAAAAGAGAAATTACAAAACATCATTCTTTTTGTAAATAAGAGTAGACAATTTGTAAGACATCATGTTTTATAATAAGTGGATATTTAAAAAGTAATCTTGTCCTGCAAATGAATAGGGATTTCTCATGTCTGACCCTAGAAAGATAGGACCAAATTTAGCACATAAATTGAAAAAGTGTAGTTGTTGGGCTAGCTGTATCAACATCACCTGGGAGCTTGTTAGAAATGCAGGATGCCAGCCTCATCCTCAACCCCCTGAGTCAGAATCTGCATTAAGTTTTAAGAAACATTGGCCTAAGTTTGTGTTTAATAATCAGCTGAAGCTGCCAGAAAATTGTGACTCGCACAGGCAAGTATGGTTGCTAATTTCTTTTTTAGGAAGTATTTTGTTTTGGGGTTATTTCCACCCCAAAAAAAATTGTCCTTTTTTTTTTTTTTTTTTTTTAAATTAACAGATTATCTACATCGTTAGGAATCCAAAAGACACAGCTGTTTCTTTATTCCACTACTACAAAGATAACCCTAATCTCCCCAGCGTTGAAACCTGGGCTACGTTTTTAGAACTTTTTCTAAAAGGAAAGGGTAAGTATAATAATGATTTTTATTCATAATGTACAATGAAACTTTCTGCTCGAAATGAAAGCATTTTCCAAAAGCTTAAATGGGTCCTAATGCCTGCTTTCAGAAATACTTTTGAATAGATTATTCTTTTGCTGCTTCTAAGCAGTTCTTTTTGACTTTGCTTTTTTATAGTTTTTCTTATAACCTGTGGGTAGAACATACTGGCAATTTCTTATTAGCTGGTATGAATGTTTTCAAAACAGATTAATTCTGATCAAGCATCTTTTTTTCATATATCATCAGTCTTTTTAGTGAAGTCGTTATGTACTTATTGGGGTACAGTGAGATACAGCCTAAACCTAGACAGGTAGACTGAAACATGCTATATATATAACTGCATGGAAAACAAAACAGCACAAATGGTACGCATAACCCTCCACCCCCAATCCACCAAATAAACCAGTGTGAAAAAATTAGCCATTTTAGCACTTGGTTTTATAAAAACTAACAGAAAGTAATTTATTCTCAAAACACCACAATGATAGATCATTTGGTTGAGCTGGGCAGCGCATGTTGGTCCTTCTACCATGCATGGCCTTTAAATTTATTCATTTTTTCCTGACTCAGTGGTGTCTGGAGCACTTAAAAAAAGCTATTCTGAATTCCCAAGATGTATTCAACAAAAATAATATACCAAAACAATACCGAAGTAGGAAAGACATGATTTAGGAATGGTGTGTACCCAAAGGATTTTACCTCTTATAGGGCTTAAAGTAGATCTTAATTGTTAGTTTAGCTGTTTTACCTGTGAATTGTTAAGCTTTTGCTTGTTAATTTAAGAGAGGCCACAGCAAGTGTAACCTTAACATGAAGACACTGGGAACTCAACAGAAATAGGGTTTAATACTTTGTTTTGCTCTATTTCCTTTGGAATAATATGCTATTTTCACACTATTTTAATTCCTCTATTTCCTTCTTAAAGGCACGCTTTTAGTAGAATCAAAGTTTCAGGAATGACAGATACATTAAAGTTTGCTTAAAACACCCACCTAATGTTTGAATCACTTTACTACATCTCCAAGAACTATAGAGGCTAAGCTTGAACTTTTTAATCTTGACAGCAGGTTTACACCCCACTCCTGCCTCAAAGCAACACATTTCATCTTGCTACTTTTTAAAAAAAAAATTCTTACCCTATGATATAGACACTTAGCTAAGTGCTATGCAAACATGATCTCTTTTCACCCTCACTAGAACACATGAGGGAGACTTTGTTATCCTCATTTTACAGGTGAGGAAAATGAAGACCTTGGGAGGCCAAACAACTTGTCCTTAGACGTGTAACGATTAAGGAGCAGAGCCAAGATTTAAATTCAGGGGTCAGTCCAAAATCTCTGCTCTTACCACTATACCATGACTCATCCAGCAAAACAAAACAAGACTAGAAACTGTCCCCCAATCATTAATTTCTCTTTCACATGTTAGCCTTCTAAATATTTGAAGATAGTTAGCATGCCTCACTCTGCTCCAATTCCATTTTTGGAATAAGTAGTTTAAACACATAAATTACTTTTTTAAAACAGACCTTGAGTCTGCTTTTTCTCAAGAAAAAAAAAGTTGTGTTTGTCTCCCACTATTACGCACTGCGTTCACCATTCCTCTTCCCACAACTGCATGAGCTCTAATTCGGCCATGTCTCTATAACTTCACAGTTCCCAGGAGACAAAATAGCCCCTGGGTATGGTCCGACTAGGGCAAGGTAGCTTACTGTTACTGCTCCTATGCTAGAGATTATGTTTCTATGAATGTAGCCACAGAAAGGCCAACCCAGGCCCTACACAGGGAAGCAAACTAGCGTCAAGGAACATTTGCCTTTGTTATCACATTATCAGGAGTTGCAGCAGAATATCCGGAAGGGCAGAGTGTAGTTGGAAAAAATATCTCAGGTGATTCTTTTATACTGTCTTAGGTGGGTTAATAGATTTTTAATTGTAAAGGGATTTGACTTGTAAGTATCCTACAATTGGGTAATCCAGCCTGGGCAAACTCTGTTGACACTGGGAAATGTCACCAAATCAGTAAAGCTTTTAATTTACTCAGGTGGGAGCAGTGGCTTCACATTTTACTACTTATAAGGTAAGGTTTGTTTTCCTCCGTGTGTAGTTTGTGTGTGTTTTAAGTATGTGACTGTGTTTCAGGGATGTTCTCCAAAGACTTTTTGAGGGGAAGGTTATTTCTTTTGCAGATGACAACACAATGTAGTAGAAAAAACAGTCTATAGGGCATAAGACCTGAGATCGAGTCCTGACAATAATTTATTCTCTGTGTGCTTTTAGATAATAGCTTAACCATTCTAAGGTCCTAACACAAAATAGGACTAATGAAACTATTTTAAAAATTATTTAAAAGTTCAAATTACGTAATGGTTAAAATTTGCTGTAAAAATCTACTCACTTATTCTGTTATAGACTTTTAAAGACACAAAGACTTTTAAATAATTTCACATTAGGGTGGAAATGTTATAAGCAGACATTTACCAAGAAAGATTATTTTACAAGTCAGACATTTTGATATCCTACATCTGTCTTCAAACCATAAACATAAATACACATTATATGAAAAGACAGTACAATAAAGATATAGATAGCTATATATTTATCTAATTATTTAATTTATCTTTCAGTTTACAAATACACTTTAGGTTTTCAAATTAAACAATAACTGTAGATTGTCTTCTGGCAATATCTAGAGGTATTAACATATCAATAAAATCATATCAGCGTTTTACTTTTTATTCTCTATAGCCCCCTCTCCAGCTGTATATTAGAACTCTATATTTCCTAGGCTACTTCATCACTGTGAGTTTTGTTTTCTGCGCAATTACCTATCAGTAGGGTGCTTTCTAGAAACTAAGATGCTCATTATAACTATGTGAGTGGGGCAGAAAGTTTGCAGAAAGTACGGAAGATTTGAAACAGCTGACGAATAGGAGAATGTGTTAATGCAGGACAAATCAGTTTGCTGGGCAGCCTTGGGGTCCTTAAGGCTGGAAAAATGAATTTGCAGTAGTGTAAATTCAGGATTATATAAATTTCTTCAGCAGAACTCAACAGCAGTGGATAAGGTGAATAGGTGAACTATTTTGATTCAATATCAGGTGTTTTTCAGGTGATTAAAATGAACTATAAGAGGGCAAGGAAGTTAAAGGTATTGGGGATGAACAAAGGGAAGAAAGCAAAGACAGAAAGGAGACAAAAATAGTCAGAGGAAGGTCTGCTAGATGCTATCCATTAAAGTCACTGCAGTTGATAGCAAGACTTGAGATGATGCAGAAGATTGTAATCTAAAATCAGAGTCTTCAGTGACTGTAGAGGAGACAGCAGAAGGTTGCTACCTGCCTTTCGGACCCACTGTATTTTATGTTTATTATGTCAAATCTCAAAGAAGCCTGGATCAGAGGGAGGAGTTTCATAGAAAGCAGTGAGATTGCCAACTTGCTCTCCAGACCCTAAGAAACATAAGTTGGTTGAGAAAGACCAATTTATATTCAGGGCCATTTCAGGGGAATGAATAATTTTGGATGACAGAAGGAGGGGGGTGGGGGCACATCCAGGCATATATTAAAGCCAGGAGGTGCTAGAATAATTCTGTAATTAAGTGAAGGATGGGGAGAAAAGCATTTTCCCCATACTCCCTACCTTCCCGTGGTATGACATTTGGTCTCTATCCCTGCCCAACCTCCAGCTGCAGAAGCATGGGCTGCCCCGACAGTATTGAGGGCTTCCACAGCATAGGCAACTCTAGGCAATGACATTATCCACGAAGGCTGTGCTGCAGCTGCTAGTAGGAAGTGGGTTGAGAACGTGAGACTAGTCTGGGGAATTAGAGACCAGTTAACTTCCTAAATTTTCATGGAAGGAAAATCAGTCTTCCTCCCAGCACATGTTTGTGCTTGGGAAAATGTTGGCCGTTCTTACAAGATAAACCCTTTACCACCGATCCGGTAGGTAATTCTAAGGCATAGTGTTATGAGAGGTCATTGAAATAGCAGTGAGATTGCTGATAACTGAAAACTGAATGGGAGCAGCTCTTCTAAGCACCAGTTCTTATTATACAGTCCTCTGGGTCTAAGGGGTAGTAGAAATTTGGGCCGATTCTAATGATATTACCATAGCCCCAGAAATTCTTGTTTCAAAAATACATTATAGTTATTGTTTTGCCCCTTGCTTCCTCAGGAGCTGAAGCCATGAAAAATTGCAGTTAGTTTGGAGTTAATTATATCTTTATTTAAAGTTTTAATGTGCAAAATGTATACAGTACAATGTCTGGCTTAATAAATGTTTACTAAATGAATCAATAGCAGATTTTTAGGAAATAGTAGAGTAGCCCTTTGATGACTAGTATTAAATCTTTGGATGATAAAGGTGTGTGGAAAGATGTATATGTAGTATTTTAAAGTATTATGTTTTATGCTTTAGATTGTCAAGCTAGTCAACTTTCTGGGGTGACAAGAATTTCCTCACTATTTTTAATCATCACTGCTATAGAGGTCATTTTGCATGATAATCTTCACTTTTAAGCCCTGGAGGTTTTTTAAGTCTGTCAAATTAAAAACAACAAAAAAGAGATAATATCAAGTAGTAATAAATTTCTAAGTCTGTATTTTTCCAACCTTAAACTAAGATACCTGAATAAAATTCTTTTTTTTTTTCCTGTAGGAGGAAGTTTATAAATTTTTTATGCTAAGGAATTAATTATAAAAATCGCGTCACTTTACAAGAAGAAATGATAAATTCTCAATACTTTTCTATTCCAACATTTAAAGTAGTTATCAGAACACAATTATAGTGAAAATGTGTATTACAATTTCTACTGTCATTTCTGCTGATAAAGAAATATTCACTAGAAATAAGAAAAAAAAAAACAAAAACCCAGCACAACCTTATTAAAAGATTTAGCTATCCAGCCTCATTTCACAATATTGTATTTAGTTGAAAATATAGTGAAATTGAGCTCTTCTAAGGAAAACTTTTTCATTCTTGAATCTAATGTTTAGGTACCTTATTTGATAACTTTGCTGAAGTGAGAAGAACACAGGGACCCAAAGCCATAATGTTTAATATTTGCACAACAATTCTCTTTTCTTCTAGTTGTGTATGGATCCTGGTTTGATCACGTTTTAAGCTGGGAAGACCACAAAAATGATAAAAATGTTCTATTTATATTCTATGAAGAAATGAAGAAAGTAAGTCCTTCTTAATATTTCAACAATCAAAATCTAAGTCAAAATAAGCTAATATAAGAAATCAATCAATTCTGTTTTCTGATTTAAGGGAATGAATTAGTGTTTTGAGAAGTAACACTTTTTTTTTTTTTAATTTGCTTATTGCTCAGGATCTTTCTAAAAGCATAAAGAAAATAACTACTTTCCTTGGTATTAATTTGAGTGACAGTGAAATTAATCAGATTGCTTGGAAAACATCATTCAGGGAAATGAAAAATAATGCAGCCAAAGAAAACTGTGATCCAAATAAGACCATCTGTGCCCTCACAACTAATAGGAACCTGGTATTTAGGAAAGGTAAGTCAGAAAGAGATGTGCTTTGCCTGGAACTTATTTGTATTTGAAAGTAGTTCTATTTTACCGTTTTAAATCCTCATTTCACCATCGTGCATCCCATATCTTGCATAACTTATTATACTTGGTCCCTTCAGTGAATGTTTATTAAATGAAATTCTTGAATTGCATTCTTTTCAGACTTTGAGGTCTCCACATCCGGTTAGGAACAAATTGAGAGAAAGATACAGGAATCAAACAGACGGAAATGATAAAGTTATTTGAGGAATGTGTCTCAGGTCTGCAGCCCAATGTATTTGCTAATAATTTATCTTGAATTTTAGAAACATACTTTTAGTCACGACCAATCAAATGCAGTCCTGTCCCTGGACTTGGAGAAGGTCACTTAGGGCCTGATGGAGAGCAGTACATGACATGTTTTCTTCAGGAGAGAGAAAAGGGCTGACAAATGTGCACAGTGCATTTTCCCAAACTCACCAATCAAATTAACTTACCTTGCAGAAATAAGAGATGGAGAGAGCTGGGATTGTTAGCTAAGGATATTCCTTTTTGCATGAAACTAAAAGAAAAAGAAATAAATCTCCACTAATTCTTAACATGTAGTTTAGAAGCAGGTTGGGCATATCCGGATATAGAATTGCTTTGAAATCCATGTGAATTTAATCCAGATCTGGAGGAAAAATGATTTAACATTTTTCAAATAACTTACAAAGACAAATTTTATGGATTTCTGTACACAGATTTATTTTCATTCTTTGGCCAATCTGAATATAATTCCTCCCAAAGCAAATATTTGCCAACTCTTATAGATCAGATATTATATTCAACTTAGCAAATTATTTTTGTTCTTTTTGGTGGTTCATTTTTTTTTCCCTTATAGTTGCAAAACCGAGACTGAGAGGAAGGAAAGAATCCAATTCAGTAAATATATATTAATAAACTATTTTCTAAGAACTAAGGTTAAAAATGAAATAAAATACAGTCTTATCCTTAAGAAGGTCATCATCTAAACAGTAATGCAAGGTCATAACAACTGTGCTACTAGTATGAGTAAAAGTGAATAGCATCATAAATAAGGGAGAGAGAATTTTTTTCTTAGGAAAGTAGGTGAGGAGATCACATTGGACCTGGGACTGGAAGCATGAGAAGGATTTTACCAGGAAACTGACAGGGAAAAAAAATACATTCCTACAAGAGCTAACAGCAAGACAAAAAGCTCAGAACCATCATGGAATTGGATGGTATTTTCCAGAAAGAACAAGCTTGGAGTGGTATATGATGTGTGAAGCAAAATGAGGGAGATGAAGTTTGGGGCCAGAGAGCTAAAGCTTTGACAGACATCATAAGAAGGCCTCCCCCAACCTTCTGTCCCTAGTCTTTTTGCTGTTTTAAAAGGGATCTGACATGGTCAGGCATGTGTCCTAGAAAATAGTAGAGTCAGAGTGGAAAATTGATTAGAAGAGGATAAATGTAGAGGCAGAAAGTCCTATAAAGAAGTTGTAATAGTCCAGGTATGAAACACTGATGATCGTAATTTGGGCAGTGGTGGTGAGTCACTATTAGGTGGAGCTCAGCTGAGAAGTCAGTTTAAGAGCCATCAGCAGATTGTGGAATTTGGTAAAATTATTCAGGGTAAGTGGGAAGGGCTAGTGGAGAAAGGGAGAGAGGTGAGAGCCCTAGGGACCCTAACATCAATGGGAATGAAACAGCCCTAGACAAGCCAAGAAAAGATATCAGCCAGAATTAGGAAGAAAGCCAGGGTCAAACATGACCATTTATTTATCAGCAAATTCTCAGAGTAGGGCTAGAAACCAGGCTGAAGGGTTTGAAGAGATGAAATATAAAGAAGGGAGCAGCAAATAGAAACCACTCTTCTAAGAAGTTTGGTAGTGGAGGACAGGAGCAAGATTATATGAGAGCTTGAGAGAGAGGCAGGGCCAAGAAAAGAATTAGGAAGAGTGGGAGAGAGGATAAAGGGAAGACAGGAAGAATTTAGAGAAGAATGCATGAAGGAAGGTGAAATGAGAAACAGAGAGTAGTTGGGAAGGACCACGGTAAAGAGGATGATGAGAAAAGAGGAAATTCTGGTATTTAGTAGAGTCCAGTGCCCTTTGAGATCTGATTAGCAAACTCTCAGTATTCACACATTTTATCCTGCAAACTTGAGAGGTTTTACTCTAACGATAATAGAGTTAATTTCTTACTTGCCACACTTGTGACCCTAGCAAATATTTCTAGGTAAAATCATGTAGCTGACAACATTAATTCAAAAGCATTTAAGTTCTCTCTAAAAGTGGTTTCTTCATATTAGATCTAACAAAGCACAGATTAACACAAGAAACATCCTCACTGATACTAGTCATCATAAGTACCTTTTGGTAAATTCAAACTATATGAGGAATTAAACACAAGGATGGGGCAATAGAGACAATTCTCTTCATTCCTTCCATTTGCTGGACGGGGTGGGAGTAGGGGAAATCTATCTTCTGAAAGTTATAGTTTCAAAAAGCTACTAAAGTCGTTGATTTAGACTCCTTGGCACACAGAGATATTTCTTACTTTACAGAGGAGAATTTGTGCCTGCAGCTGTCTTTACTTTAAATTCAGAATAGATTGGTATTCTAGAAAATGACTATGGCAGCCAGGGAGATAAGGTGACAAGCAAGGATACAGAGTAGTCCACACAAGTTCAGAAGTCCTAGGGCCCATACATGCCAAAATTTAGGGGAAGAATTATAGAAGAATGGAAAGATATATGGACAGGATATATGTTGCAATATTGGTTATAACAATGAAATCTTAGAATGCATTTAAAATGTCACTAATCAGAAACTGTTTAACATATCAAGGCACATCCATGCAGGGATTTACTATGGAGTCATGAAAACTATAGAGTAAAAATAACTTTACTATGAGTCCGGTACATTACTTGATTTATCTTGATTTTGACAGCAGACTTTTGAGGATGGTGTTTATGTTACTCATGTTTTACTGAGACATCAACCACCTGAATAACTTGTCCAAAGGCACACAACTAGTAGCTGATAAAGTCAAGATTTGAATCCAAACACTCTTACTCTACTTACCATAACTTTCATTGTAGGTATATAAATACTAATATGGGAAGATGACCAATGTATATAATAAGTGGGAAAAAAGCAGGTTATAATTGTGTGATTTAAAATGTAGTTTACATGTACTTATATGTTTGCAAAGAACATCTGGAAGAATGCATGCTAACCAATTCATTAGCCACGTTAGCTGAGTATATTACCTTGATTTTTATCTTCTTTTGCATATACGTATTTTCTCTAACCTGAATATACAGCTACTGTGTTATTTTTTTAAAAGAATTTTTAGAAAAAGTAAAAGAGTGAAAGAATACATCAGAAACCAAGCAAACACATGTCAGGTCAGTTGAAAGAAGACGGCAGTGGTTCAGGTGAATTGTATCAGAAGTCAGAAGGGAAAACCAGGAAGGACCAAAGAATTTAGATAAGTAACATGAATAATATTGATATTGTTCTTCTAAGGACCTCGTGAAGCTGACCTTACGCCCCAATTGGTATGTTTTAGAAGCAATGTCATTTCCTTATTTTGGGATCTTCACTCTGGTACTTTTTCTCTTTGCCCCTGACCCCTCTTCTTTTCCCTAAACAGAAAAGTTTCACTTCTTCTTAAACTCAGTCTTTTGGACTAGGAATCGACACCATCAAATATTTCTTAAATGGTAATATATTTCTTTGCTTTAGATGACATTGTCTGACATTCAATCAGACCATGGGCTTTATTGAGCACCCACTATATGGTCAGCACTGGATTTGGTACTGCAGGAATACACAAGCAATACATCACAGCCCTTAACCTGAAATAGTTTACAAGCTAATTGTAAGGAAAAGATAGTAGAGAACAATATCAGACAGTCTGTGATGGAAGGCTAAAATGATGCATTACTGGCTCCATGTACCTGCACTCCAAGGATGAAGCTTAGGGCCAGCAGGGGCAAAGGACCATGGCGGATAATATCCAGGGTTGGAGTTTGGCATAGTGTGCATAATGAAAATGAGAAGGGCAATCTTGAGAGGTTGACGCTGAGGCCAGGGCTGAGAGGGTGACTTGGACAATCAGGAGAGGCCAGGGGACTGTGCGAAGTACAGTTGACCCTTGAACAACACAGTTGAATTGCACAGAACCACTTATACATAGATTTTTTTCAACAAATATTGTAAATGTATTTGCTATTATGATTTTCTTAATAACATTTTCTTTTTTTCAGCTTTATTGAAATGACACAGTATATAATACATATAACATACAAAATAGGCATTGATTGTTTATGTTATTAGTAAGGCTTCCAGTCAATAGTAGACTATTAGTTGAGTTTTGGGGGAGTAAAAGTTACATGCAAATTTTCCATTGGGACAGGGGGTCAGTGCTCCTAACCCCTGCATTTTTTAAGGGTCAGCTGTATATACTTTATTTCAATTTCCAGACACCTTATATTGAAGGTGAAAGCATCATATGAGTAACTTGATGATTATATTTTCAACTCTTTGTTATCGATATTGTAAAATAATTTTTTTAAAAATGAGACCAATTACCCACCCCCGTGGTATGTTATCGGCATAACTACTTCTGTAGAGGTGCATAGGCAGGGAAATAAATGAAGCACCATTATGTCTACTTTGCTTTATATTTTGATTAAGTTTAGGTGAGATATTTTTATGCCTTCTATCATAAAACCTAGGATATTTATATATTCGTAATCTTCATTTCTTTTTAAGAAATAACTTTTTAAACTGTACAAATTAATATGTAACTGTTACTGAAGGAATTAGAAACAACAAACAAATGAAGAAAAGAATAATTTTCCCATCATCTTATCACCAAGAGATAAAATTGTTCACATTTTATTATAAACCTGAAAGATTTCTTTTGTGAATACTATACATTTAAATTGGTTCTTGTCTGATATATTTGCAATTTTTCCAGGAGCGGTGGGTGATTGGATAAACTACTTTACTTCAAAGCAGAAGAGAGTATTTGATGAACTATTCACAGAGAAAATGAAACACAGCGAACTCTCAAGACACTTTGAAGATTATTCTTAATATAAATGGAAAATGAAACCGATTTCCATTTTATGTGATACAGTGCTTGTGGAACACATAAATATTTTTCACCAGTGTGGAAAGCAGATATTCCTTTCAGTGAGAAATGGACACTTTATAAATGCATCAGAAGTGCTGTATGTGAGAGACTATTGTTATATTTGGTGGTAGCAGAGAAAGGAAGTATATGATTTTTCAATGGCCGAATTATATATCTGCTTTCAGGATATTCATAAGATTAATGGATAAACAAAATGTGGTATATGCATAGACTGGAATATTATTCAGCCTTAAAAAGGAAGGAAATTTTAACACATGCTATATGAATGAACTTTTAAAGACATCATGCTAAGTGAAATAAGCCAGTCACAGAAAGACAAATACCAAATGATTCCACTTATATGCAGTATCTAGAGTGAAATCCATAGGAACAGAAAGAATGGTGGTTGTCAGGGGCTCAGGGGAAGGGGAAAAGGGAGTTGTTGTTTAATGAGTATAGTATTTCAATTTTGCAGGGTGAAGTTCTGGAGACTGGTTGTACAGCAATGTACATGTACTTGATGCTATTGAACTGTACAATTAAAAATTAAAGTGATAAAAAAAATTTTTGAACCCTTTCTATGTGTCAAGCATTATTATAGATTATAGGGACACATGAACTTGAAAGAGTCTTTCTTTTTAAGATGCTTACATTCTGGTGGAGACAAATACATCATTTCTTTCTTTCTTTTTTTTTTTTTTTTTATAAAGGAAACATCTGAGATATGGCAGGCAGGCACTAATATGTGCTATAAAGAAGATAACATAAGATAAAGTGGTAGACGGTGACAAAAGAGTTGCCTTGGCTGGGGTTTCGGGCTGAGGACTCTGAGGAGGTGACATAGGAGTTCCAATAGGAATGATGAGTGGGGCTCCCTGGGCCTGGAGTCATGACATGGAGTGTAGATTTCATACTAGCTGGGGGATTTTCCACAGGGGTTGAGACATTCTGACAGATGCTTTTACAAGGTCACTCTGACTACTAGATAGAGGATGGACCCAGGGGTTATGGAAGGAGACAGGGATAAATGGCTATTATAGCAGTGTAAAGTGAGAGAAGAGGGGCATGTGAACAGTGGTGGGAGCAGTGGAAATGATGAGACGGCCGATTTCAGGATATATGGTATTGAGCTAGCTCTCCTAGTAATACAGGAGCAAGAGACAGAAAAGAATAGAAGATGAAGCTTAGATTTTGAGCTAATTAATTGACTATCTGAAGGTACTATTTCTTTAGATGTGAAGACTTGATAGAACGGTTTTGGTGGGGTGTGAAGTAGGTGGGCTGGATCAAGACTTCTGCTACGGCTATGCTGTTTGAAATGTCTGTTTAGACACCAGGTAATTGGTTGGTTAGAAGAATCTCTCTGACGTTTGCTGTGTTGTTCCTTTGGGCCCAGCAGGAAGGTACAAAAAAGTAGGGTGGTGTGGGAGCTTGCGGCAGTTTAGATTTATAGAGTACTATAAAAATGAGCATCTGTATGGTGATGATAATGGCAGGGACGTGGCGCAAACGTCCATGCCCACTTGGATTTTCCCTTTTTCTAAGTTCCCCCTGAACTTTAATCTACCACATTGCCTTTTCACTTTCTTGGAGCTGTAAAACAACTCATCTGCATTTCTTCATCCAAATTGCTACCAGTTTTTCTCCTAATGATTCCCCTGTCACTTATTTTCACTCTTCTTCCTCTTTCATTTCTCTGTCCTACTCCCTCCTCTCTGTAGTCAGTAAGTAACTGCTAAATTCTAATGATTCTTCTAAGGTTCCATTAGGTGGTATTTTCTCACTCCTGTGTCTTTGTGCCTTAAAGGCATTTCACCCCATAAATAGTTCAACATGAGCTCTATGAAAACCTGCTCTGAGACTTCCTGTCTCTTTCCCCTATTATTTTTTATTTCTCCCCCATTGGCTCTCCAATGACTATTCACTTATATTTTACTTCCCATATTGAACCACTTGGGGCTTGTATTTTTGTGTAAATGTATGTCTTCTATTCTAGTTTGTAAGGTTCTCTCTATTCAAGTTCATGTCCTGTTCATTTTGTGTCCTCCGCCACACCTAACCCAGCACAGCAATCCTTATAGATGCTTAACAAGTGTTGTTTGTGAATTAAGTTCATGAATCAATTTAATTCTGTCTTCTGGAAAACTCAGTTTCAGTACTGTAACCCATTTTGATCCTATTTTTGTATTCTTCTATTGCTTGATGTCTGCATCAGTCAGTCAATTATTTTTTTAACCTAATCACATATTCTCTTAGCTTATTTCACTTTTTTCACATTATGCAAGTCTTTCCTTCCCAATTTTATTGTATACTTACAGAGAACTTGTAGGAAGCATCTTCAGTGACTGATACAGAGTTTTACTCTCAGAAATTGTTTTGTGAAGATGTGTTGAAAAAAAGAATGAATAAGTGAATGAATGGTTTAAAAAAACAAATGAACGCATTCCTGTGTGTCTACCAATTCAGCTTCCTGGTCCTCCTATAGGCATGAATGCTTACAGTCATATTTCTTTGCTTTTCCTCCACTTTCCAAATCAAACCAGACACAAAATACTGTTGATTCTTGCATTTCAATATCTCTTAATCCATTCTGAGTGTATGAAAGACCTTATCAATCTTCCTTCAGACATAAACATAAGCAAAGACCAATTATAAGTGATAAGAATAGCCTTAGTTGTAAGTAAATAAATCTGGTAGAGAGATTTGTGGGTATTCACGCAATCTGTATATGTTTTTAAGCTTTTTTTTTTGTAATTTCTCCTTGTAATATGTAATTACAAGATAGAAATAATTTTTGTTTTTAAGCAGCTCATTCATACATTTATAAAATATTAATTAAAATCAGGTAATTGAAAAATCAGTGCCAAAAAGGAATAATGTGGCATTTAAATAACGTTCACTTTGGTTTCATTTATTTTTACATTAGTTTAATGAAAGAATTGTTGATCCTCTTTCTGGGTACCCAGGTACAGACCTAGATGGAATTTTCTAAGGAGTTAGCAGAGGAGGAAGTAGAAAACACCCTTATGGCTACTTTACATGAAAAAGCTATAAACAAGGAGTCATCAATCCACCCCGTCCCCTCGGTCTTTTCCATTGCCAGTTAGAAAACTAATTACAGGGAAACACTATGTGTACTCCATTTAGGCAGTTCGGATTATTACTCTTCCAGAGTGTGAAGAGTATAATCTCAAACTACAACTAAACAGATTAGAGCAAATAAATTTGGGCATTTTTTGTTGTTTGTTTGCAATATAATCATTAGTAATTTAAAATCTTTGTGACTATTGGTATATAGCTATGAGGGTTTACTAATCCTTAATTGTTGGCTGGTTGGGTTATTATCCCCAGGATGAAAAGGAAAATCTCAAACTCTAATTAATAATAGAAGTGCAAATCTGAGCCAATCTATGTCTATGATATACATGCATAGGTGTATATTTCTAAAATTATGATTTTGTTCAATTCGAATTTGCTATTTATGTCAATGGTTTATATTAATTTATGATATCAAATGTACTCTAACAGAAGTGAGAAAATATAGGTCTTTAGGTGTTCTCAATTATTTAGATTGTGCCTTTATTTTGTGAAAATTTCAGTCTACCAGGATCTGTATAAATGACAACTGAAGGCAGGTGCAGGCAGGCAGGGAGGTACAAAATATCCTTGTGATAACTAGCTCAGTTTAGGGAGAGAGGGTATATTTCTGAGTAATTGGTCCAAAGAGAGTTTTAATTAAAATAAATTAGTGTGATCAGCTAAATCCTGCTAGGTTGCATACAGCTGAGCTGGAAAATGATCTAGAGGTTTATTCACTCCAGGCAGATATATTTAAAAATCATCAGGTAAATACACAAATTAATAACATTAATATTAATTTTGTTTCAAAAAGCACTTCTAGCCCATTCATTAAATATCTCATTTCATTTTCCTCTTGCTTGTATAATGAAGGCCAACCATATCCTGTTCTGTGAGGGTTTAGCTTCTCATTTATAACTGAGATTATAAAGCTTCTGTAGCCAGTGGGGAGAAGTAAAGTTTCTCTCCCGAGATTCATGAAACCTAAGTAGGAATTCCTTGAGGACAACTAAAACTGAGGACCAAGAGTGATGAGGCAGTAGTGACAAGCCTTGTTAGTCTTCTTTCTAGGATGCCAGTCAAGTGTTGCAGGAAGGACAATTCTCAAGTGCACTAGCTGGGCCTCATTTGATACTTACGCTGTTGAGGACAGCAATCTGCTGGCTCAATAAAGCCTCTGTCTTCCATCACAGGTGTTGGCTCTCTACAGCATGGCCAAGGCCTGGGGCTCTGCTACGAAATGAAAAATCTGAAATTCGAAGAAAGAGAACTTGGATAGTAGTGTTTATTTCTACAAAATAAAGAGAGACGACAAAAAGACTCCTGAGGGCCCATTCAGGTCAACACCTTTCCATGCCCTAAACTGCTTCTCTCAGGGACACTATCCTTGAGAAATGGGAAGAATGAGGAGTGTGGATGCTGGTGGAGGATAGAAGAAATAGTACATGGAAATGGGTCATTTCCCCAGCCACATTGGGTCCTCTCTTTACTCTGACTCCCAGCTCTGTTGCTCCCCACACCAGTACTTTAGGCTTTCTGCTAAACAGACACAAAATGATTTTCATTCAGAATCCATTTCATTCAGAATTCACTATTTTTACAGAAAGAAGGATTGAGAATCCTTTAGATTGAATTCCAAGTGCTGTACCAAACCTTGAAAATTACTAATGAAAAAGCCAGAAAGTGTTGCCTCTTTAGAGCTAATGTCCAGAAGTGGAGGGTGATAATTTAAAAAGTGCAATGACAGAGCTCTGCAGACCTGAATCTTTGTGTGTGGAATCGGGAACGGGGTCCATATAGGAGCCCCAGGCGTTGCAGTTGGGAGGCGGGGGTCTCTCACTCATTATGGATCCACCTAATGTGCAGCTGTTCTAGTGGAAAG